CCCTGACCCGCTCACTCCAGACTCCTCATTTTAAAGTTGTTCCAGCTATATCAAGCTTTAGTTCTCTACCTTCGAGCACCTCGTATTGGAAGCGGGTGATGTAGGCTCACAGACTCTCGTTTTTTCCTTGCTTTAGGTCAAGCGTGGTGCTTGAAGCTTTCCTCGACTTCTGCAAGTTTCAAAAGTGCAAAGCAAAGACTCTCTAAAAGTCTTACTAACTTGAGACAGTTTCGATCGACAGACCGTTGAACCACCAAAGGGCTGACTCCTTCAGGGTAGTTAAGACGAAACGACACATTATAAGATCATCAATCGGGAGCAGACCGACAGATGATTCAAACGAAACTACATGGTCAATCGGGTCGGTCCCTACCTCGTAAGAATCCAAGCGATGTATCCTTAGTTTGAGCCGTTCAAATGCTTTAAATTTCGTGCTGATAGTTGTAATGTATACGATATAAATACATATTTTTTAAAATTTTGTTTTTATTAGACAGCTGTTCTGTACTTTAAGATATAATTATAATAAAATAAAAAATCAACAAAATATGTATTGTTTTGTAGTTTCAACAAGCTTGTGGGTTGATTTGGCCCGTCAGTTGAATGAAGCTCTAATTAAATTTAATAATTTTAAAATTACAGCACGGAGACTATTTTCTAGATAATATTTAACTTTTCTTTAAATTTAATAATTTTAAAAACTTAACGTGTATTTTTTTAAATATTTATTATTATTATTTCAAATTTATTGTTATATTAATTTTATCTTAGTCAAACTTTAATCAAGATATTCTAATCTAGTTAAGTTCCATAATTAATTGGGAAAATGGCACATGTCAAGTTTTATTATCATCAAAATATTTTTAATTGGGAAGATGCCACATGTCTCATGTATTTAGGTATCTAACGCTTAAATTTTTATATTTACATATTGAACACTCAAAATCCTTATCATCATTATTAATATCTAGAAAATCAATTATGAAAGTATTATAAGTGCAAATATTAAATATTAGGTGAGAAATATATAAATACAAATGTTTGTCTTATTCATTTAAATTTATCTTTTTTTTTAATATCCTTCAAATCATCATACACTTTACTTTAAAACTAAAAAAAAAAAAAAAAAACTAATATCCTTCAAATCATCATATACTTTACTTTAAAACTAAAAAAAAAAAAAAAAAACACTTATAAATTTTTTAATATTATGAATTTGTTAATAATCTAAAAAATAAATTCACATAAAATTTATATAAAAATTTAGGGGCATTTACATGCATACCAACCAATTTAAATATATTTACATATCTAACACGTAAACTT